CTGAAAAAACCTGAGCATAAACCCTTCATGCCGAAAAGAAATTCAAAAAAATTCTTAACTTATAAAAAATGACAAGTCCCTTATCCCCTAAGAGCATACACACACGCACAAAAAAGTTTTTTTTTCTGGCGTCACCACGCAATAAGAGGCCGCTAAGTCGGTATTAATTATGCCGAAAGTTATTAAGCCGTTAAAAAAGATTTAAAAAAATGGGAAAAAAGTGAAAATTTAACAAACCGAACTGGTAAAGTTACAACCAATGTTCAAAGCAAAATTCGATTCGGTCAGACTTTAAAATCCTCAAAAAACTGCAGTGAAAATTGTTTACAGCTAAAATAAACGATTCTGAAATGTGGCAATTAAACCGACAAAACCTAAGCAGACAAATAATAGACCGAAATTTTTTTGAAATGGAATATTTACCGTTTGAAAAAAACTTGTCCTGCTCAGATTCCAAAACAGGAACTTCTCCGTCCCAGGCGTATTCGTTAACACCGGAGATACTACAAAATTTTTATTCATTATGAACCAAGGTACCATCAGGAGTCCAATGAGTCCTGTGGGCAGAGTTTTTTACGGGAAAAAACCTAGTACCCGATTGTAATACAATTTTTTGTCGCAAGAGTAATAAGTAAACTTGTAAATCAATCACTAAGATCATTCGAGATCAATTTCGCATCACTGAATATTTTATTTGGAAGCAAAACTCTTTTTCAAAACAACTGAAACAATTTTTTGTTTTTGCAGAAACGTAGCAACAACAAAAACTGAAAAAGTTCTACTCTTCCAGTTATAAGGTAGGATAACGTTTGGTCTATGGCGCCAATCCAACTCCTAACAGAGATTATAATTCGAAGTGAGTTATCTCAAAATTTAAAACATTTCAACTTCACAAAAATTGAAACAATGTTTCAAAACACTGCAGGTTTTTGAATCATTCAAAATAGCAAACGGATCATTAAAGCGCGCGAATCAAGAAATCTTGATCAAAATTTCTGATACACAAAAATGTGGGTGGCTTCAAAACCAACCATTGTCAGAAAAGAAAAGAAAAATACTTAACTTATAAAAAAAGGTTAAGTCCCTTCTCCCCTCAGAGCACACATACGCGCACAAAAATTTTTTCGAACGTAATCACGCAATAAGAGGCCGCTAAGTCGATATTAATTAGCCCGGAGTTTACTATAACGACAAAAAAAACGGAAAAGAAAAAAATGAATTTATAAAAAAAATTAACAGCCAATGTGAAAAGCAATTTTTGATTCGGACGGATTTTTAAAATGCTAAAACCAACTGCAGTTAAAACTGTTTACAGCTAAAATAAACAACTCTCAGATGTGGCAACTAGGTCGATAAAACATCAGCAGAAAAATAATAGTCCGAATTTTTTTTGAACCGTATCAATTACCGTTTGAAAAAAACCGGTCCTGGCCAGATTCGAACCCTGGACCTTTGACGTCCCAGGAGTATTCGTTATTAACAGGCTAAGTGTGCAAGATAAACTACAAAACTTGAATTCATTGTGAGCCAAGGTACCAAAGTTGTGGACAAAGTTGTTTACAGAAAAAAAACGAGTACCCGATTGCAATACCTTTGCTATCACATGGGCAATTAGCTGTGAAAAAAATTGATACTAAAATTTTCGTTTTTTTTCTACTTCTCTGATTAATTTGATACAGTTTTGCTAGGAAAAGATTTGAAGCGCAAAATCGGGGCTTCAAACATTTCAAATATGTATATTTTTCGTTTTCTTCTAACTTTGCCATTCAATTTTAAAAATCTTAAGCTTTCACAGAATGCAATTGAGTATTGCAAAATAAAATTGTAAGCTGCTGCAAGCACATTTGGTCTTCATATTTTTCAACGAAATATAAGGCGCTTGAGCGTAAGAAAATCAATTGCCATCCATTAAAATGGAAGACGAGAAATCTGAGGTGAAGTTGAAAAAAGTTCAAAAAATTTGGTTATCAAAAACACGCGACGTAATGGCTAATCTTATTTAAAGCCGAGATTATGAATTTTTTTAAATGTTTTTTGATGTATAGAATTTTTTTTAGAAAAAAACAGAAAGCGCATGTTATAAAGAAAAGACTGGCTCAAAGTTTGAAAGTGGAAGAATTATAGTCACGCTTCACAAGTTTGTACAACCATTGGTTTCCAACTGGTAAAATCAACAGAAATTTTTGCAAATTTTTTTGTTTCCTTACCAAATATACCTTAAATTGAGCTAAAACGTCAATACGTTGCCGAATTATTTATTTCAATTGATTTTTGAAAATTCAAATGAATTAGTTTTGTTTAATCAGTCAATCATATTTCGCCTCAGAGTTGTTTTCTTAGAAACTGGTTTCCTTTTCTTTTTTGAGCTCTAGGCAAGCTCAGGTACCACAAATGATCATAGAAGTAAGACGATTGGCATTATCATAATAAAGCCCTTTCAGTCGTGATTCGAACGACAGCTAAAAATTTTCCAAAAAGTTGTCCCAGTTTGGAGAAAACTTGGTTTTAAATTTTTGATGTTCAGACTAACTTCGAGCGATTAAGTTAAGTGAGTTCGTACCATTCTATGAAAACTGGTCTTTAAGGCTAGAGAAAGTTTATTTTATTCATCGAAACCACAGATGAAAAAATGTCGGGGAACGCAGAAAAAACTGATTGTTTCAACTTCCGAATTTCGAAGAAACAACTATTGCTTGACCCTTTTTTGATAAAAAAAGTTAATCCTGTTGCGGAAAACTTGAGTAAAAAGTTGAATTTTTATTTCGCTTAGGAGTCTGATAATTAAATCCTTTTTCAAATTTAGAAGTTGATGAAGTTTTTCGGGACCTTTACACTTTCGCTATCCGATAGTAGAGAATGCTTTTCTTTGAACAAAAAAAATGAAATGAAATTTTAAAAAATCTGAAATTAAATCATTACAAAGTAGATTTGGGCCTCAACTAATGTTAAAACTTTCCTAAAAAATCATTGCGGCTTTAAAAAAATTTTGTCACAGTGTCGAAAATACCGGATATAGAATTTTTGAGTGAGCAGGCGTTTTAGAAAATAAGTTGTGAAATCTTAACTTTACTTCACATAAAAAAATTTGAAATTCTTGCCGTATTTTGGAATTAAAAACTTCAAAAACCCAAAAATTATTTTGCAGAATTGAAAACTTTCAAAAAATTTTCAAATGATTTTCTCATCATTTTTTTTGAAAAAATATGCTGTAAAATTTGCAAATTTCAGATCATTTCATCACATCGCGCACCAAATTGACACTGATATGAAACACATAGGCAACAGAAAGTTGGAGGAGTCAATGAACGCAAGGAATCATAAAGAAATGACATGCAAATTCAAAATTAAAAGCACATGACCTTCAAGCTCGTTGCTTCTCAAGAACACTTTGTGATTGTCACGTTTTGGGTAACGTGAAATCAATTTGATTCATATGGATCAATTAGTAAAGCTTTGATTTCCACTAAGAACTTAAACAACCTTCGAAACTAGAAATCATTTAATTTTTCGCGCCATTTCCACGTTTAATTCTGGAGAGCTCTGTTTACCTCAGGTTTAGCAGATGAGTTTGAATTGAACTATAAAAAAAGCATATCCACTTAAGTCGATTCCATTCATGTATGCATTAAAATGAAAGATTTCACATCTGTGGTTATAAGAGCGTTTTAACATTTTTTTCACGAAAAAACGAATCAACAAAAATATAGGATTCTGTACCACGTTCATTGACTCTAAGAAAAAAACATAGACAAGACAAGAAAATTTAATGCTAGCTCATTTACAAAAAGTACCTGAGCACAAACCGTTTCAGCCGAAAAAGCTCAAAGACATAATAGCTAATAAAAGCTCTTCGAGTTCCCTACTTCTTGAAATACCCTTACCAGCACACAAACAGCTTCGTCTTGAAACGACGCAATTCAAGGCCATCAAGACGATAAAATACAGGCCAAAATAAATTGCGCTGAATAAAGTTGTACGCGAAAAAAAAATTGTATATACGAAGTAAAACAGTGAAATTACAAGCAGCAGAAGTAAATCAAAATACCATCGCCACTACAAGGTAAATTGCGTACAGCAAAAAACAACAACTCTACAATGTGGCAACTAAGCCGACAAAACATAAGCAGACAAATAAACGGAGTTTTAACCATTTTTTTTTAAAATTAGTTCTTGTCATCCCTTTGACATCCCTGACATTTTCGTAACCTCCATACCAAGTGTTACGGGGTTGCAAAAAAACTTGAATTCATTATGCACTGAACCAATATTTTCCATTTCTAATTTTGAACTTCTGTGCTCAAAGTTAATTATGTGAAAAAAAGTCGAGTAAGCGGTTGCAATAAATTTGCTTGGCTAGTGTAATCATCATGAATTGAATATCAATTTACCATTTCTAAATATGACCATTCTGTAAACAAAGTTATTTACGATAAAATGAGTCGAGTACACGGTTGCAATACATTTGATATCGCAAGTATAATCATTACGAATTGAAACTAACTTTGCCATTTCTAATTATGACTATTCTGTGAACAAAATATATACGGGAGAAAAACGTCTAGTACCCGGTTGCAATACACTTGCTATCGCAAGCGTAAAGTTATTAACAATTCATCTGTGTTGACCTTAACCTGTAGTTTGACTTGTGCAAAATGGTTATTCTTCCTCCTCCCGAAATTAGCATCATATTAATGCATCCCACCTGCAAAATTTTATTAAAACAAAATTTTTGATCACTATTTGAAAAATTGGCACGCGGACTAATTAGGTCACGACAAATATACTAGTATTCATATTTAACCATGTAAAATCACTCGTGACCTCGTAAAAAGGATGATTATGTTTGGAGGGTGAGTGGAGCGGGCAGGAATAATGAGGCTTGCTGACCTCTCAATGAGTTCAATTTTTCTCGAACAAATTTTTTAATACAAACTGTATTCAGTAGAATTTTTATAACTAACCGTTATCCAAATATCAAAGGTGATTAATAAACAACCCGCTTAAATTATTAAGCACTTTTCAATTCATTCAGTTTAACTGATTAATGTTAATTTGAAATTGTCATCATAAATATTTCCTTTTTCAATCAAAAAATTTTTTGTTCCCAAATTTCGAACAAACTTAAATTTACACTCGTAATAATTCGAATTCAAAACCAAATAATTCAAACAGGTCAAGAAAATGACAAATTTAAGTGGAAGTATTAATGGATGATATGGAGTTAAACAAAAACAAGGTCATTTTTTATCCTTTCAAGTTCCAATCTCTGAGCATTCTCATTTCCTCCAGTATGTCCCAAAAAATGAAATGAACATTTTTCATTTGTACGGTCTATAGTTCCTGTTTTGGCTTCTGATACTTTGGCTTCAGTTCGTTGATGAGTTTGATGTAATCTGTCTTCTCTGTGCATCCTTTGCAAGTTTCGTCCCAAGTTTCTAGAATTTTCTTCAGTTCCTTAACTCGCAGTTTGTTCAAATCAACACTATCAAGGTCAATCTGTTTTTCTGAAATAGAACAGATTTACAAACTAAGCCAAAATAGCCAAGAAAGTTCCATTGAACTCAAGTAAAACCAAAAAAATTATTAATTTTTTTGAACAATCCATACAATAACTGGGTTTCTATTATTCGCAGAGGATCTATCGGAGGTTATCCAGATTATCTGAGGATAGTCAGTTTCTTTTATAGTCATTTTCTCTTATTTTTTGCGTCTAGAACTTTAACTTGATACCACTAGTACAGCCGAAATTGGTACTATCATTGCCACTAACAACCCTTGCCATACTATCATTGCGACGGCAGGATCTCGAAAACACGATATGACAATCTCAAAGTGAACTTAATACCACTATGCTAAGAGTCTTCGAAGGAAAAGCAAATCAAGATAGATCACTTTGAAATTCAGGAATCTTTTATAGCAGAATTTTTTCATGAAGCTAAACCAATTAAAGAAAACTCGGTCAATAGGTAATTTTCTGTTCTGCAGGAAAATCTAACCATAGCCAACACAGAGTTGGAAAAGTTTCATGAACGCAAAAAAAAACAGAAAAAATACTGACTTGTTTTTTGAAAAAACTTCACTTCGAATTTTAAAGACAAAATCTCTTTGAATTTCAAAAACAACTTATGATTGACACTTTTTCGATAAAATTAACCCAATTTAAGAAAACTGGATTAATAGGAAAATTTTTTATTCCACTGCAAAATCTCAAAATTAAAATTCACCTTCAAAACTAAAATTTGATCACGTTTTTCGTGACTTTTACACTTTTTCTGTGCGCTAGGGGAGTTTTCCTTTCTTTTAAAAAGGAAATGAACTGAACTTAAAGAAAACAAAAGTCAAACCGCGGAAAAGTGAATTTATAAGAGTCTACACTGCGTTCATCGATTATTAAAAAAAACTGTTTATATAAGTGTCTTCACTATGTGCATTGACACTTCGTAAGTTAAATTTAAAAAAGTTAATTTCGATGAATTGCTATTATGTCACTTCCAGCTTGAAGTAAATTACCTCCGAGCATGGGAAATCTCAAGCATTTGTATTTTTAGAATCAATTTCATTCCACTGAGTTTGTTTTTCATATAAGCCATTTTTATTCACAATGATCATCCGCATGGTTGCTCAGTAACTTTAACGCCCTCATGGAGAATTTGAATTCTAAGTGGAAAAAACGCATGTATCAATGCGTGTACAATTATCTACTAGAGGCACCGCACTGCAATTTACCTTTTATTGATATTGTTCCGATCGTCCCCTAGCGGTGGGAAGGAACTATGGCGCAGGATGTGTTTCCTATTTCTAACTTTGACTATCTCAGGAAAAACTTGAAGGGAAGGCAAGTATGGTATCATAATGAAGCCCTTTCAGCCGCGATTTGAATTGGATTCCAAGAAAAAGTTTAACTTAGTGTAGAGAAAAACATTTTGAAACTTTGGCTTTTCAGACTATTATGACAACGTAGGCTGACCTCCAAATTGATGAATTCTATTGTCAATGCATACATTTGCCAAACACTGAGGTTTTGAGCCTTTTCTAAATAAAACTAGCCCTTCAGTTATAAAAACAGTCTATACAGGCGGCATTCTCAATCTTTCTTTCGAAGAATATTGTATTTGTTTTTTTTTAAACTAACTCATTATGTTGCTGAGGATGTTGCTTTATAGCTAAATAAGAATTAATTCATAATCATCAGAATTCAATGCTGTGAACATTACTTACCATATTGCAAGGCACAGATTTGTGAATCCAAAGGCTTCAATTTGTTTTCACATATCTTTGCTGCTGGCATGAACATTTTGACTGGCTTGACTACCTGCTGAATTATTCCAGTTGCTGAAGTTTCAGCTGCTCCGATGTAATAACACTAAAAACAATAGTTGTGTCGATCATATTCATTTGGTTTGTTAACCAGATTACTTAAGATATTCACAAAACTATTGATTAATTTTGAAAATATTATCAAATCCCACTCATTGAGTTAATTAGAGTTTACACTCACTTGAAAACCCATTGATGACAACGGCGATATTGCAGAAAATTATTAACAAAAATTTATGTAGTAATATCAATCTAATCGGTTTTCGGAAACGTTTAATAAAAGTTCTCGAAACTAATCTGTGAACTTTTTAATTCATGCGACAGGACTGCGAAGCAGGGATGTGTAATTAACTATTGAATTAACAATTAATTGCAATAATTAACATAGCCAACATACGGTGACTGGGGAAAAAGGCGAAAGCCGTTAAGGCGACAACCGTTTTAAATGAGACTTTTAGATGAGAAAGTACATTTCTTAGAAATTGACACTGCGAAATGATTGTTTTAACACGCGAAATACATTTCTGATACATACAAGACGCAAAATGATGGTTATACATACATTTCTGAGAAAAACAAAACGGAAGTTTCAACAATTAAACACGCATCAACCATTATTAAATGAGACAATAATTCGGCTAAAGTTCTCGTATTTAGCTTGTTCGTTGTCTGTAAAATTTTTTTGGGATGACATTGCTAGTATTTGTCGTAAATTTGGATACTAATACATTTTTCTCATCTCAATATCTTGTCGCCCTAATGTCCTGTCGCCTTATTTGCCAAGCACCAACTGTGTCCAGTCAATGAGCAGAGTGGTCTAAGAGCAGAAATGGTCTAAGAGCAGAAAAGCAGACAATTGTTGGTTTATATGGGCTAATCGATAAAACAATTTTTGAAATCGTCCTTCCTACCAAGGAAAAGATTAAATTATATATCATTGATTGGGTAATGTTTTTCATTGATTTTTTAAAAAAAAAACAATTGCTCAAAATCTTCAACTTTTGAACAAATAAAAATATATGGCCTTAAAGCTCTTTGAATTTCATAAACAATGTATGTTTGGGGCTGGGTCTTTTAACAGACCGACCTTTTACCAGACCACAATGCAACAACTTAATTATTGTTCCGACTTGCGATATATTTCGCGCTATTAACGCGTAGGCGAGATTTAATACGTCTTAGAAATCGTTCCAAATTGGTTCAAGGAAGATTATATGCCATAATTGATTTGTTAGTAGGAGCAAAATCTATCCCTTTGTACTTAATATGGCGTGTGCGGGGATGCTTTTACAAAAAATCTCAAACTTTTTAGAAAAAAATTTTAATGTTACTTTATCACATTTAAATTTTCCTTGTTATTACTGCTCCACAGACTTTAAAAGGCAGTCGCAACATTCAGGACTTCGCCCTGAAACAAGCAGTCTTGTTATAATTTAAAAACATAGCCAATCGAAGATTGGAAAAGAGTAATAAACGCAAGTGAACATCAAAAAACACACTGACTTCATTGAAAAAAATCTCAACTTTTGATTTTCAAAGAAAAAAAATAGATGCCCTTTAAACTCTTTGAATTTATGGAATGATTTAAGATTGGCGCTTTTTTGATAACCGTAACCTAATTTGAGAAAACTGGATCAACACTATTAGTGGAAGATTCGAAAAAGAAGCAGTTACAACAAACAGAACTTCGCTGAGACATGAAATCTTTGTCTTTAACCAGACTAAACGGCGTCATTACATCTGTAAATCAAATTTGTTTATCGGGTCTACTAAAAGGTCAATTTTATAGCTTTTCTGGTAAAAGGTCGGTACATGTATGATTGACACTTTTTGTGATAAAATTTTTTATTCCGCAGGAAAATCTGAAAACTATTGAAAACAAGAAACACTTCAATTGCAAAATGATAATTGATAATTCAGTCCAGAAGTTTAGTGGACACAACTTAATCTTGTCCACTAGTTTATCACATCACCAGTAAACTTTAAAAGCAAAAAAACTTTTAAAAGGAAAACCTATAAATAAAATTCATCCCCCGATTCAGATCTCATGTTTATAATGACGTTGCTCTGAAAAATTTTAGACTATAACGATTTGGAAACAACCCAGAAACTGTCTTCAAACTTGATTTTACATACTTTTGCTGGTAATCCGGGTGAGTAATGATACTTTTCTTCTTACGTTATTGTATTTTTTGACATTCTTTAGGAATCACATGGAAATTTTGAGACCTTACTTCGAAATGATGTTTGAAATGGATTCATACTTCTAAACTAGTCCCGGGTCACGCTTCCAATTATTTTCCTTAAAATCAAGGCACAATTAAATCAACTTACAAATCTCTCGTCCTTGTTCTTAGCTGTTTTACATGTCGCCCTCAGTTTCTTTTCTAGGGATTCAGGTGTTTTTCTATCTTCATCGGTCAGCGATTGTTCAAACTTCGTCAAAAACTGGATACACACTGAAATTTAAAAATTGAAATGAAATCAAACATAATCACAAACTTTTTTAAAAAGTAACCAGAAGGTCAAAACCATCAGAGTAACCGAGGTTACAGTTAGGAGTCCCTTCATCGCATATTCCAGTCAAAATCCGGTGGCGTGTCACGGAGCCGAATACCCGGATAGCCGAAAAATAAATTCGCTCCCGGATAGCCGAAAAATAAATTCGATTCCGGATAACCGAAATTTTGGATCTACTTAATAATTACCCCCTTCCCATTTCTTATTAAGGTACGATAGGGGGGGGGGGACAATAGTTAAAGAGATCATACAAACTTACTTAAAAACATTGTTTTGTTTTATTTGGAGTACACCCTTTCTCTACCCCCCCCCCACCCACACACTTAGTCCCATCTTTCTTCCTTCCCACTCCCTTCCCCTTCTCCCAATTACCCCCTCCCCCTACCCACTATGCCCCCGGCAAAAAAAAATAAACGCGTTTAAAAAACGGACAAATGTTTAAAAAAAGAGGCCAAAACGCCTTTTTTGTTTTTTTTGAAAAAATTTTATCCAAAAAAATGCGTTTAACAGCGCGCGCTCCCCTTTAAAGTTAGCATATAGTAAAAACTTTTAGGGTTTGTGGGCCGAAAATGGATAAAATAAAACTTATAAAAGTGGGACCCTCTGGTTGGTGAGGGGTGTCGAATCCCTGTAGTAGTCAGACTTTTGTTGTTAATTAATTAAATGAGAATAAAAAAATTAGCCAATCCAATCTCTTAAAAATGTTCAGAATTTTCTAAGCTAACAGGCTGCAAAATTTTGAGGCATTTTTTGTCCAATCAAAATGCGTCTCAAGAGTTTTCTGATTTAATTTAATTAAAACCGGAGGTATTTATTTTTTTCGGCTATCCGGGAATGCTGCTCCGTGCGTACGCACCCAAAATCCTAGGAATTCTCTAGATATGGAAGTCATAATGATAAAAAGGAAATGATTGAAAATTATGAGATTTAAACTAAACTCGATACGGGTTGCGCTTCTTCAATGAGAACACGCAGCTCGACACGTGTTTTTACAACAATTGAAGTTTAGAATTGCCCCCTTCCCATTTGCCCCCCTGCGCAATTAGAATTGCCCCCCTGCGCAACTTGCTAATGGTTTTTTCCTCTTCTATAATTTCTGAGGATGCTTTGAATCGATTGCAAAAATCACTCAATAATCTAACGGAATTTTTTGCAGAGAACCAATTGAATCTGAATGCATCTAAATCGGAATTTATAACATTTTGTCAAAAAAATGATAGCAAAAATGTGGATACTGATAAACTAGTAATTAGTGGGCATTATGTAGCCAAAAAATCAGAATGCAAATATTTAGGCATAATTCTTGATTCAAGTTTATCTTTTCATGCTCAAATCAAAACAATTCTCCAAAAAATGGCCCAAGGGATTAAAACTATTGATACAATTGGACAACAACTGCCGACATTATCATTAGTTGCCTTGCTTCATTGTCTTGTTTTATCACATTTAGATTATTCAGCAATTTTTTTACAACAAATTAATAAATTAATGCTACTTTGATGCTATCTCTGGAGAAACAGTTGAACTGGGCGCTAAAAAGAACATATTTCAGATCGAATTTTAAATCTTCTTCCCTTCTTCGCATTAGCAAATCGTTCATTGGAATCGAGAAAAGAATTGAGTTAAAGTGTATAACATACTTATACCAATATCTTACAAACAAAAAGAAGGCTTTTGAAAATACACTGAGACTACCGACTGCCAATTATAGGCTCAACGAAAGAACGAAACAAATTATTTTTGACAAACATTGTTCGACTGCTTCTCTACAAAAATCATTTTTTCATTTGACTTCTAAAAAATGGAATTCACTGCCCATAATTTTGCGCAATTTAGAAAAATCGAAAACAGAATTCAAGAAAAAATTGAAAGAATTTTACGTGAGTGAATTGAGAAACAATCCTATATGTACTAATACAAATACGTGGCGTGATTACCGTTTTTGCTAGTTCTATATTTTTTAATTCAGTTTAATTTTTCACACATTGCTTGAAAGAGAAACTGTATATACTCTGCATATACGTTGTATAATTGGACTATCTGTAAAATTGTTTGTAAAGTTTTATTACCAGCTTGTTCCTAATTCTTAAATCTTTAATTTTCTATAGTATCCGAAACTTCATATACTTTAATCAACCAATTTCCGAACTGTAACCGATTTTGTTTTTTTTTGTTTTGTTTATTGCTTGTTTTCTGATGTTTTGTTTTTGTTTGATGTAACCAATGAATTTATAACCAATTTTATTATTTACACTTTGCTACACTGATGCCTCGGCTTTTTATTGTATAGTAATTCAAGTGTTCTTTCTTCTTCTTCTTCTTCTTCTAGAAGTCCCATTCAAAAACTTGTTTAGAAATAATGTCCCGCCAGACCACTTGAAATATACTTGCAGTAATTCAAGTGGATAAAAACGAAAGGCTAGCATGTAAACATTTGTTTTTTATTAGCCTCCTGTCTCGTTTGGGCGGGATATGTCATCCATTTTGCCGTAGCCGGTCCCAACTTGAGGAGGCGGATGGCACTGTGACCCCTCCAACCGTGACCGAAGTGGGGTTCGAACGCATAACCCTCGTGTTGAGAGACGTGTGTCTAACCAACTAGGCCACGGCTGCTTGTGAACATTGGTTCGTTAGATTTCTCTGTAAACTTTTCTTTTTACTGGAATGATTAAAAATATCAATTCACTAGCAAAACGTAGGAAATAGCTTTGAAAAAATTGTGTCTGGCTTTCTTATGGACGATTGGTAGTTTTACAGGACCATACTTCTGCGAGGTTTTTAATGGGACCATACTTCAAACGAGCACCTAATTTAATTATAGTCCCGCTGTTTCTGATAAGTTCCTTTCAAAAAGCTCGTTTAGAAGTGTGGTCGCACCAGACCTCTGAAGTGTTTCAAGTAGCAACCGTGGGAAGGGAAAACTTGTAAACATTAACAAAAATATCGATTAACTGGCAAAACTAAGAAACTACCTTAAACAATGTTATTGTCTGACTCACATATGGGACCATAGAACGTTTTTCGAGACCCATACTACTTAACGAGTACCAATTTAATCACTTATAATTGACTGAAACATAATCTAACCTTCACAGTCTCCTTCTTTTAATTTTGCCTCCAATGCGCAAGCATAAAGGATCAATAATAAAGTTGATACGCATAATTGGGCATACATTTTCTCGAAAACCAGCTGCAACAGCTCTAAATTTTGCCCTATTTACTGATTACTTTTTGAATTTCAATTCTGAATAAACTAAGGATAAAAGCGAAGGAGCACCGAGTTGCGTCAATGGCAAAGGACACGTCAGCAGGTTTTTTAGACATGCACGAAAGGCCCAATTTGCTCGAATTTTTAGTGTGGTTGTTTTCATTTGACGGTGGCTGAATTCCGGGGACTTTGAAAATAAGACATTTCTTTCGACTGAGTTGTAAATGACAAATATCAAAATTAAATTCATTTTAAAATAAATTCTGATATCAGAAAACATAGTGAGCAGTACAATTTTTAAATAAACGAGGCATGTTATAGTTCAGCACAGACCCCTATCTAGATTTCTAAGATATTCATAGCAATAGAGCAGTGCAGTTAACGGCTAAATTATTGAGGTTCTTGCGATTATGAGACTTCCGTCGCAAATCAGCCAAGAAAATTATAATGAGACTGTCTTTTTTGAGAGAGCTGCAAAAAGGGGTGCTGTGCGTGAATGTCCGGCTTTTGTTGTTAACCTTACATATATTGACCGCAACACTCCTGAATGTCAAAAACTATCCTTTATTTAGCGAATCTTACTTCAGGTTCTTAGAGCTCTTAGCAGTATCAGGATTTTTGTTTTCGTCATCTTTCCTATGTGTTCATTATTTCTCACGCACAGTTAGAGTCTACTTAAAATCAGCAATTCACGCCGAGTTAGTTATAAACGGAGTTTGGTCATTTTTACTTCTGATCGGAGGAATTTCGGGCTACACTGTAGCCCCACCTCACTCAGTTTTGACTGGAGCCTCTCTATCTGCATCCGTCACATCTATCATTTACTGTTACTTTGCTGCGTATTTACATGTGCAGTTGACAATTCTCTTCCCAAAGATTGAGCAATCAAATGAGCCAGATGCACCTAATGTGATCATAAGCTTAGGCGCTGCTGAAAAAAATAATGAGGTTGCTTGATAATTGAAATCAATTATGCTTAGAGTGCTAATTTTGTGTTCAGTTATTACCAGATGTTATTGAATGTCAATTTTCAATTAAATTTTGTTTCAGCCAGGTTTTTAGAGTTTAAGATATGTAGTAGTAGTAGTAGTAGGGCTTTTGTGCTCGTAGCACAAGGGGTTTCCCCCTTTCAGTTTTTCGTTCTATAGTGAAGTTTTGCTTCTACAGTCATTCATTGTGCAATCGCAAGCAATTCTCCATGTGCACTTGTTCATTTGTTCGTAGTCCTTCTCAAATTTTCTCCAAAATAACCACAATATTCGCTTCTTCAGTCTGCTTGTTTCTCTCACGTCAATTTTGATCACATTCGCTAGCCGACATGTTTGGTAAAAGAATTCGTCCTCCAAAAATTTCTTTTTCGGCCTCTCGAGCTGAAACATACAACCGCGCGAGGAACAGGAATAGGATGGAACTTTCAACATGTCAACATCATAATTTTTCGATAAAATTTTTGACAGCAACAAAAGGTTGTTGATCTGTATATACATTGGCAGTGGCAATAGTGAAATTTCGATTAACCGATCTTTGTACGAATCCATATGCGGAATTATCCATTTAACTATACGCCTTTGTACATTTTCAAGCTCCGTAATAATGTATTTACTTAATCCATAACATGGACTTGCGTACGTGAGTATTGGTACGATCATAGATTTATACAAATCCAGTTTAGCTTTTTGTCCAAGATTCGATACTAAAACCATACTAAAAACCATACTGTTTACCATACTAAAAACACACGTGTCCTAACGGAGACGTTTTGAGCTGGAGTATGCATCATTCTATTTTGCAATTGACATTCTCACCCTAACTGAAACTAAAATTGAACGAAATGAGCTGGAAGATTTTTGTAAGCCCAGGTGTATCCTAATATCGCTTCCTTTCATATATGTTGAAGGAAGTTTGGTGATGTTCTTACGTTTTGAATGAAGTTTGGCTGTATTCTGACATATCTGAAATGTTAAATCACTTGCTAGTAATCAGATGGTAATTTTGATTGCTATTAGCAAGCTTATCTTAATATAGCGGATTTAGTATAAGTTTCCGCAAAAATATCAATTTTCGCTAACAGACCAGGCCATTTATTTATGATTCAATTAGGATGATAGTGTTCACGCCGTAACAAAGATAGCCTGTTATTGTGCAAGTACACTAGCGGACAGAATTAAGCGCAAATTCAGGGCTCTACGCTCTAAAATGACTGTTTTCAATGTCCACTTTGGACAACAACTCCTTCGAAATTCAGTAAAAATTTTACTTAGACGAAGAGCAAATGATCAGAGCTATCATCTATGAAATTATTCTAAGCTGGTTTCAAAGACTTACCAATGTAGTCCGCGTCTGAAAATGCCAGTTTTCCTCATCTGCACTAAGTTTTGCATCGTAGTGAATTCGTTCTTGTATAATCGGAGTTAAAAAATTGTTTTTGCAACGTAAAACATTCTCTGCGAGAAAATTGAAATAATCAGTGTGAGTGTGAAAACTTTTTAAAACTCGGACGTTTCTTACTTTTGTACGCGAAAAAAGTTGGTGCATTAAGGAAAACTGGCATTTTCAGACCCTGATTACTTGGTAACGTCTTTAAAACCAATTTTTAATTATTTCATAGAGAGTAGTTCTGATCATTTGCTCTTCGTCTTCGTCTATGTAAAGTTTCGAAGGAATTGTTGTCCAAAATGGACCTTTAAAACAGGCATTTTAGAGAGTAAAGTCCTGAATTTGCGTTTATTTTTGTCCACTGGTGTAGCACAGAATGTTTCAATTATAGTCTCGAAAAAATAAAAAAAGTTTTTTCAAATTAGTGTAGTTTTTCTGCGTGGCGTGATAAAAAAATCTGAACTAAAAAAAAAACTTTTTTTTGGCAATTTTTTTTGGCATATTTGACAGTCATAGAAAAATAGGCCAATTGGAAAACAGTTTTTGTTTTTTTTTCTCGTTTTTTTCCCTTTGCTTTCTAGGCTAACAGGGTTAGACCTATATAGTTTCGGTTTAGTGGCCCCTTTGTGAGTCTTTTGTTGAGAAAAAGAAGTTTTTGTATGTTAGTATAGTTAAAGGGGTAGGGGACTTAAAAATAATTGATACAAAAAAGTTCGTGATGAAAAAAATTGGAACTTCGCTTAGAAAATTTTAAAAAATCTCCAAAACTGACCTCTCTAAATAAAATTAAGAGGCAAAAGAAAAAACTTGCGCATGAAATCAAAAACGACGAAGCCATACACGAAGAGAAAATTTTCGCCGGCAGAAGAATGTCTTCATCACAGAAATACCTGAAGTCGTTACACACGAATAAGCAGTTCCTCGACGAAATGTACCTTAAGCACGACGAGAACAATAAGGAAACAGCATGTAACGACCAGCTGAAATGTGAACTCCAATATGTTCTTCTAGAATGTATTTTTACAAGAAGGTGACAGTACTCCTACAAGTACGAAAGTTCATACCTTAACTTCAAACAAGTGACGGAAGAAGAGGTGAAGCAAATCCTAATAAAACTGGACGTGAATAAAGCCTGCGGACACGACAGCATAGGTTACCTTATGCTTAATAACTTACTTCAATTAGCAAAGTCCTTAAAGCTCGTATTTCAAACCTCTCTAACCACAGGAACATTCCATTTGATCTGGGAAGCCAGCGAAGTCAAACCAATCTACAAAGAACACTACAAAGCCGACATCTCTCAGTACCGACCAATAAGCTTCTTGCTGAAGGTGCCGAAAGTGTTCAACAAAATGTTTCCTCTCATAGAACCATACCTTCACCGATCTCAATATGGCCTCATGCAAAAGAAGTCTTCCTGCAGCTGCTTCTATTCCTTAACCACGTCGCCGAAGTGGGCAATAAGGAAGGTACTTGTAGTATCCTTTTTGTTGCTATCAGGTGTCTGAAGGTTGCTCTTCTATTGAGGTTTGCTATTGTTGGAGTTCTTTCCAAATGACGAGGAAAGTCTAGTACCCGAGAGATATATCGGATGTCGTTGTTCGCGGGACGGTTTTCCTCAGAAGGTTCAGAGGACTAACAAAAGAAGTTTTAGGCAGAGTTTATGTTATTGTTTCTACTCATCAAATTTTTTGAACAAAGTTATGAGTGAAGTGCGGTCATTTTGTTTTGATCATCGAGTCGTTCTCGGACTTTTTTGTTTTCGTTTAAATGTTGCTTCCTGATTTTTACCCCGTGGTATTTACTGCTCCTCTAGTCACATCTTCTGTTTTTTCTACAGTAAATTTAGTTTTGTAGGCGTAAACACCAACTGGGCCTCGAGATCGTTGCCTAGATCAAATAATGAATCACAACCATAAATGTAGGCTTGCGACACTATTCAAATCAATGCAATATACATAGACATCTGTAAGGCCTTTGGCAAAGTCTGCCACCGTAAACTAGTCGAAAAAAAAAATTGAACGAACCTTCCTGGTGTAGGTGGGAAACAGTTACAACTCTTACACAGCTACCTCGCAGATCCAGAACAAACAGTTAAATTTAGAAGCTGTCAGTCATCATATTCCTCTTGCGCATCTGGCGTACTGCAAGGATCCATCCTTGGACCTCTTCTTTTTCTTGTGTACGTAAACCACCTGTCAGATGCCATAACGATGGAGAAGATTATGGATACGCGGACGATTTTAAAATGTGTACAAAGTCACTCCAAATCGCAGAGCGAATACTCTCAGACATCGGAACTTGGAGAAAATAATGAATTTTGTCCAAAACAAATGTCCTTTGCATAAAGCAAACGATGGAGGCCGACGATAACAACAGGCAGATGAAAAGCTTAAGTGTTCAAAAAGACCTAGGGGTCATGATGTCCTGCAACCTATCATGGAGCGAAAACTGCAGCAGCCCTGAACTCTCAAGGGTTGGAGATCTCTGTACTTCTTAGTGAGAAACACATCTAAAAAAGCAACCATGGAAACTAAACTACATAGGATATGTTGTCCCTGTACTAACATATGCCTGACAGGTATGGTACCCCTCAAAAATCGATATTAAAAAGATCGAAAAAGTTCAGATAAATGCGACTTCATGGATATGCAACGGCTGCACTGAGTACAAAGAGAGAAGAGCGACTGATGCGTACGAAAATCCTACCGCTGTC